CTGAAGGGAACCAGTAGAGAAAGGAGACAGATCTTCCCCTTTCAGGCACCTTGGGCTCTTGAGCAGATGCTGGCCATGCAGCAAGAATACAACTTTGTTTTCCTATACAGCTATGTAGATCTGTTTGTCAGCTTTCCTAGGAAGGGCAGTCCCACCTTCTGAGCCGGCGCCTTCACCACTTTCCCTGTCCCAAGGCTGCTCCTCTCTGTCCCCAGGGCTACAACATCAGTGCGGTGGCTCCAGGAGATGGGGTGAGCTGATGAGATGCACCAGAGAGGCCTGTTCCCCTCTTTGCCTCTGCACGCTGCTTCTGCTTGCCTTGTCCCGCTGCCAGCGCTGGCAGTATGGTTTTGGCACCGAGCAGTTGAGTGCTTCCTTTGGCAACCTCCCTTGCGTAGACTGCCACTGCCGTGCGCTGGTCATGGGTGCAGTCACCAGGAGCTACGGTAAGAATATCAAGTGCCAATGAGTCTCACTGTAAATCAGAACTTGGATTTTTCACATCTGACACCTAAAACCACCAGGTAACGCAGAGCATATTTGTCTCTTTCTCTTACCGCTTGTAAAATGGTAGTAATGCCTGCTTATGGCAAATAGGAGAATAAATGCACGGGTATTTGTGAAGTACTCTTGGTGTAATGATGAGCACCGTGTCTCCAGGGTTTGTACAGTAACCAAGTCATGGAGCTGTGTGCTAAGGCTTTTTAAATGTTTTGGGTTTTCCTGCTTACCAGGTACTCTCAAGATGGTGTGAAGACATTGTACATTTAAAAAAACCAAACACCTACAAAACAGTAACTCCGAAACTAATCATAATGAATACACCAAAGGAGGCTACATTCCTGTTCTATCTCCTTACCCATGCATCATGGCTCTGGCACCCCACAGTGCGGTTGTTTCGGCATAATACAGGTTTGGAGGTCAGGGATGGCGATCTGAACTTCGTTAAGTGCAGCCTGGCTGGCTGCTTTGGCTCCTCGGTCCTTGCCACTGTTGGGAAGCCTGAAGTGACTGCTCTGCCTGCTGGAATGTGTATGAGGAGGGATGCCCTGTGGCAGTGATTGGCTGTAGTAATTTAAGGGACCTTATCAGTGCAGGTAGTCTTTCCTTCCAAATGCTTTTTCTTCTCCTTGCGAGGAGACCTCTGTAATTCCTCAGCATCAGTTGTGCTGATACAAGGCCATGCTCTGAATTGAAAAACAATTTTTTGGGGTCTCAGTGGGTGGCTGTAAGCACTGAATCAGGGAAGAGAACCTGCAGAAAGGAGGAGGTGGTGATTGGAGAAATCCTTAGGCTTGCCTTGCTGGAGAGGACCGGTGTCATGTCCTAGCCTCCTTCTTCATAATACATAGCTCTTCAAAATTTATCAAAGTATATGAAAAATTTTATTATACATGACAATCTCTAATGTGCTGATACGAAGGCATCTTCTGCTTGCTCTGAGCCAACATGCCTGAAAAACAGTAGATAATTAGCTTCATATACAAGGGTGGTGCCTTATAAATATCTGAGTTATTTGCAGCATGGCATGTGTGCGTGCAGATCTCGCGTCTTGTGAGCAGACACAGTCCCTGCCCAAAGACAAAACAAGCAAAATAGTGAACCTGGAGAAGAAAAGCCAGCTAGTCTGAGTCTTGAGTTTTTGCGCCCCCCCCCC